CCCACGACGCTAAAGTAGAACTTCCCACGACGCTAAAGTAGAACTTCCCACGACGCTAAAGTAGAACTTCCCACGACGCTAAAGTAGAACTTTGCGTGATGCTCCAAATTCCTCATTTTAGGGAAGAAAGAGATTCTTGGAAGAGGTATAAAATATAACTTTATTCTCGTAATTTTAAGACTTTATTCCCTTAATATTATGAGTTTATTCTTGTAATTTTATGACTGTATTCTTGTGATATTACGACTTTATTTTCATAATTTTTTGACTTTATTCTCTCCTTTAAAAACTAAAACGATCTTTAGCCTGGCCCTGATACTGCTCTACCCAGAAGCTCCAGTGCAGGTTTGTTGTGGAGCTTTAGTTAGTTTTACTCCTCTGGACGCAGCGTCTCTCTGGAATTTCAACAGATCTGAGCTTCTGCTGCCTCTGTGTCGCATCACACGGGGTCCAACTAGCTCTATCTCTACTATATACTGTATTTTCTGCTGTTTTTCATTAAATAGAAAATCTTGAGTCCTTTCATGAACCAGAACCTCACTGCAGCAGCTGGTCTGGTTATGATCTAATATGTCTGTCCCCAGCTCCGTCTATAATCACTCTGTCGTTCCACAGAGGTTCTGGAGGAGGCTCTGGTCGGCAATAACCCAGAAGGGCCTCTGTGTGAGCTCCTCTTCTTCTTCCTGACGGCCATTTTTCAGGCTCTGGACGAGGAGCAGGAGGAGGTGGCTAAAGATCAGGCTGAAGGTAGGAACGGGGGAAGCAAGCTGCACTGCTTTCAGGCTGTTTCCCAGAATAAGGCCTCCATGTTTCCCTGCTGCAGGCCTGTGGGAGGCCCTGGACGATGACTCGGATCCCACTCAGTCAGCTCTGACTGCTGTGGCCTCGCTGGCTGCAGCCTGGCCTCAGCTGCATCAGGGTTCTGGTCTCAAACAGCTGGACCTGGACAGCTGCACGCTGTCTGAAATCCTGCGCCTCTACATTCTGGCCTCTGGCGCCGATTGTAACCACAACAATGCTAAGTTCCGGTACCAAAAACAGGGCGGCTTCACCGTCATGGACGACCCGTGTGTGAACCTGCGGCTGTCTGATCCGGTCCTGGTGAAGAAGCTGTCCTGCACTTCGGTTTATGACCTCACACCAGGTCAGTGAACCAGAATTATACGGTAGCCATGGTGCAACGGAGAGCTGCTCTTCTAGCCTCCTGGTTTAAACCGGTCTGTACTGAATGGCTGTTAGCTGTTCTGTTTTTAAGTACCGGCATCACTTGATCAGTCCTTCCTGTTCAGATGTGAAGTTGGCTTAACAATTGTTAAAATAAAGGACCGTTTTGTTTGCAGGAGAAAAGCTGAAGATCCTCCAGGCTCTGGTGGGGAAGCTGCTGACTTTAGCATCGAGCAGAGATCTGATTGAAGACTGTGTGGACGAACAGAAGGCGGCTAAACAGGAGCTGCGAGAGATCAGAGCTGAGCAGCACCGCAGGAAGCGGGAGGAGACGGCGCTGAGGTAAGAGTCCCGTGCTGGGGGAAGCATCTAAAGACAAACCTGAAGCATTAGCAACACTTGGAACATGGTCTGACCCGAGGCCATTTAGTTCTATTCAAGGAAACAAAAATTATACAATTGGTGTAAACTATCACATAATTTCTCTTATTGTTCACAGAGAGCTCTGCTAACCCTACTGCACTATCATAGTGAGCACGAACACTGACATTTGGTCCAAAGTTCTAAACCCGTCATTCTGGGATTTCAAAAACTCCTCCATCTTTCCTTTGGTACTAACCCTGTACACCAAAGCAATGACCTCCTAAATCAATTAATAGAATAGAAATTAGCACTGGGGAATTTGCTGCATTTGCAATATAATCGCAGTTTAACAAACTCCATTTTCAAATGGCAGCGGAGGCGATTATGGTCATATTACATTTAAATAAACTCGATTAATTAGCTTTATTTCTAATTCCAGCCCTTTAGGAGGCGATACTATGCTTGAAGTCGGTTTGCAAACAGAGAAGAGAAAGATGGCGCTAGCTCACAGATTCATGCCTGCTAGTAGAAGTTGGCTCTATTTCAATCAGATTGCAGTAAAGTCCTGCAAAAATGGACTTCTGGTTTCCAAGGTCATGAAAAATCCTAAACGCTTTATTAAAACATTAACATGATTGTGATGGTGCAAGGTGAAAATCAAATAAAATTACAATATTGGTATAACATCGCAATATTGGTTTAAAACAATCGCAATTTTCAGAGTCTGCGCTTTACGCTTCACTCTGATGGTTTGCTCTCAGCAGCTCTTCCTGCTCTCGCTACTTAATAAACCATGTGGCTGATCATCCTCTGCCAAATGTAGAAATTCCCTTTGTCTAACTGTTAGGATTTTATTTCTTTCAGCTCACTAAACCGCATTGAATTTCTGCCAGAAGGAATCCCTAAATTATATCCAAATAAAATATTTCATTGCATTCTGTTTATTTTTGGATAAAGATCCAGATGAAAAGGTTCATAGATCTTTGAATATTTCTCTCTCACTGTTCTCCCTTCTATCTATTTGAATATGATGTAAATATTTCCTTTTATTGTCATTATGGTTATTGTTCAGCATGGAAACCTGTCTAAAATACGTCTGACCTTTTTTTCTTTAAGCAGGTTGTGTTTAATCAGATCAAGAAAACGAAGCCCAGAGCTTCTAGTTTTAATCATAGAGCAACATCTGTTCACAGCTGCTCTACTGAAGCACTTCCAGGTTCCTAGTTCATGAATATCGATCCAAAGCGGCTAATCTTTAACAATCGTTTTCCAGAGAAGAGAAGTCAGTGGTGTGTAATCCCATTAGCTGTTAATATTTGATTAAATCATGAAGGAGGAGGTGAATCCTTTTACACGCCGTCTAATGAAATACAGTCAGATTTAGCTTGTTGATTTTAGTTGGTCTAACAAGGAACAAACTGCTAAACAGCCTTTAAGGCTTTTTCCGTGTCGCTCATCCTGAGCTTTGAGCAGCTGTAGTGTTGATGGAGCAACCATTCCCTCTTATGCTACGTTCAGACGGACGCACTTTGGGCAGCAGAAGTTTACATGTAAAGTCTTTGGTTGACGGGCATCATAAGGTCGCTTTAAAGCAGCAGAAGCTGCGCCTCATGAGCTTCTGAAGCTCAGGACGCGATGTTAGACCAGCAGCTGCTGGAGTTGGAAACATTGA